TCTCTCTCTGGTCTCTCTTTGTCTCTCTCTGGTCTCTCTCTGGTCTCTCTTTGTCTCTCTCTGGTCTCTCTCTGGTCTCTCTCTGCTCTCTCTCTGGCCTCTCTCTGGCCTCTCTCTGGTCTCTCTCTGGTCTCTCTCTGGTCTCTCTCTGGTCTCTCTCTGGTCTCTCTCTGGTCTCTCTCTGGCCTCTCTCTGGCCTCTCTCTGCTCTCTCTCTCTGGTCTCTCTCTGGTCTCTCTTTGTCTCTCTCTGGTCTCTCTCTGGTCTCTCTCTGGTCTCTCTCTGCTCCCTCTCTACTCTCTCTCTGGTCTCTCGCTGGTCTCTCTCTGCTCTCTCTCTCTGCGCTCTTTCTGGTCTCTTTCTGGTCTCTCTCTGATCTCTCTCTGCTCTCTCTCTGGTCTCTTGCTGGTCTCTCTCTGCTCTCTCTCTGCTCTCTCTCTGGTCTCTTTCTGGTCTCTCTCTGCTCTCTCTCTGCTCTCTCTCTGCTCTCTCTCTCCTCTCTCTCTAGCCTCTTGCTGGTCTCTCTCTGCTCTCTCTCTGCTCTCTCTCTGGTCTCTTTCTGGTCTCTCTCTGCTCTCTCTCTGGTCTCTCTCTGCTCTCTCTCTGCTCTCTCTCTGGTCTCTCTCTGGTCTCTTGCTGGTCTCACGCTGGTTGCTTGGCTCCAGCTTCACACAGAGACGACAGAACACACAGCCACATCACACGGCGCTCGGTCTGCAGCCTACGCCAGGACCATCCTGTGAGCGACTGTTCCCATCATTAAGGATCTGAGTAAACACATTTCTGTAAGACATGAAGATACAGCGGGAGTCCAAGACCATTAACTGCGAGAAGGCCATCCATCCAGTCCATTGTTTGACTGTCCATCCTCAGCTCTTGTGTGATAACGATTTGGATGACACACCTTACGACTCTCAAAACTTGTGAAATTATAACCATTTCTTGCATAGAGGTGATGTCATGTTGAAACGAGTGGTTCTCTCGGCTCCCCCCTGTCTCCCCCCTGCCCGCCCGGTGTCGTGGGGGTTTGGCATTTGCTGGTACAAAGCAGTACAAGACCCAGGAATAAACTTTTCTCCAACAACAGCGATACGTCACACAGCCTTATGTCCTCGATTTCGAAAAAAGACGTGATTATTTTACAGACAGTAAAGCCTAGTGTATACTTGCGCGGCGTGGCTTACGTTAGCGGTTGCGGTGGACCTACGTAAGCACAATTGATGTTATACTGGCGCGTTCCCCTTACGGAGTTTTGAGGAGAATGTTGTAATCCCACAACAAACCACATGAGGGCGATCACACAGGAGCGGTCCCATTTACGCTGCTACTTTGTCCTCTTCAGAACAACAATAGCAAACAAAGCTGTTTGACCTCATTACACGTGTTTCTACTGTAGGTTTATGTGATAGTTTTATGGATTCATTATTTTATAAGTCATTTCAACTGTGATGCTGTGAATAAAGACACAGTTCTTGTTGGAAACATGGTTATTATTGAATAGTTTTCAGCACAAACAGCAAAACAATAATAGTGGAAAATATCTGAGACAAACATGAACGATTTACGAGTGCAGGAGGAAAGCAACAAACGCAGCTACGATTCAAACAAAGACAGGAACAGTTTATAAGTTATATATATGTTAGATAAAAGTTAGATATAAGTTATATATATGTTAGATAGTCCACAGTCTCCTGTATATCAGGCTCTGAGCCCAAACTGCTTTTCCTTCGAAGCACAAAGCTCTCTGCTCCATAGTGCCTCGTCCATTGTCCCTGCTGCAGCCGCTCCGTGCTTCCTTCCAATACACACACACGGACCAATCACAGCGGAGCTTTCTTGCGGCGACCCTTACGTAGTTAGAAAATTTCGATGCTGCGCGGCAGGCGACGTAAGGGCCTTGCGGTGACCAACGCGTTGCGCAAGTGACGTCACGTCACCTCCGTAAGCTCCGCGCCGCGCGAGTATAAACTAGGCTTAGCAGTCTACTTGCAGATCTAGCTAGGCATTGTTAGCATGTTTTATAGTGAGATTAACACCAGGTTAGTCCAGTTTCATGGTACCCATAGATCTTGAACAGTCTTTAGTAAAGTGTCACGTACAGATAAACAGATTCCGCACAGATTTCAGAAGCAGATTCTGTGAATAAAGTCCAGCCACAGCTGCTGCATTACTTTGTCTTTGAGCCAAACAGTGTCGTCACGTATTTACATCTGAAAACACATGTTCTTCATCTTGACATGATGCTAACACTTTTAGCGACATGAGCAGTAAAAACAACAGAGCTGGATGTGACACAGACTGTAGACGTTGCATGGACTGATTCAGGAGCTGTCGTGGGCGTGTCTGTTTGGATCCCTCCCCTGTCAATCACTGCTGAGGCGGGATTATGCAGTTCGGGCCGCGTCACCAATTGGTAACACGGCACAAATAAAATCTGAGGCGTTTGCTGCCTCTGGATAAAGAAAAAAAAAGATCGTCACGGTGAGTGGATAGCACTCTCGCCTCTCAGCAAGAAGGTCCTGGGTTCGAATGCCGGTCGGAACGGGGTCTTTCTGAGAGGAGTTTGCATGTTGCGTAGGTTTCCTCCGGGTACTCCGGTTTCCCTTACCACTAAAAACATGCACACTTGGTTAAATCCTCCAGCTCTGGTCCTGACCAAGCCGAGCATTAACATCTGGAGATGGGTTCCCGGGCGCTGTTACAACGGCGACCACTGCTCCTGACGAACGTCTTAGCGGCATCAGGATGGGTCAAATGCAGAGGAGGAATTGCCCTACGGGGATTAATAAAGTGCACCTTTACCTTTAAGATCGCTCTCCAGCTAAAGCTTGAGGGATTCAAGGAAAAAACTACTCTGGACATGAGTATCAAGCCAAATAGCACTGTAATAAGTGTTTAAAGCAGTGTCTCCCAAAGTGGGATCCGCGGCCCCCTGGGGGGTATTGCAGGGGGGCTGCAAGAGGTCATTTACATGTTTGTAGCAGAGGCTATTTCCCCCAAATAAAATAATGAGAAGAGCCTATTTTTAACGTTGTCTTCTTGGTTATTATTTTGGGGGGCCACGCTGACCCGTCAGATTTTTCAGGGGGCCGCGGTGTTACTGACTTTGGGAATGGCTGCTTTAAAGCATTGAAAAGTCAAAAAGCGTAATACGGGACCTTTTAATAAGAATTCCTATTAAATAAATGGATCAATTGTGTTGTATTTTTGCCCAAATGAGCAGCTGAAAGCCTTCTTTACTGAACCGTGTAGAATTCTTTTTTTAAAGTTTATATACGCAGGGACCATGGGGGAGGCGGGGGCATTGTATTCAGTTCTTTTTTGCACAATGTCGGGATTCAAATTGTGAAAATAAGTTTAAATCATGATACAGCTGGAGTTGTTTAACTAACACCGGCGCGCCGTTTTTATGTTTTTAAATGTTCTGCTGGCAATAGCAGATGTATTTTGAACACCAAACCCCAAAAGCTGTATATCATTTTAAAGCTTATTTTCTTATCTACATTTATATACAAGTGTAAACTACATCAGACTTTGCAAGATATAACACATAATGTGGGCACAAAATAAATCAATTCCGAAATAGTTTTTTACCTTTGGGCTTATGCTGTACAAATAAATCAGCTCTCCTCCCAGCTTGCAATACATCATTCTCTCTGGAACAGTCCAAAGGAAAATTATATCCACTTGTATTTCCCAAAGTAAAATCCATTCTGCAGAAATAATCCAAAAATGTGCATTTATCTTTAGCGAAAAAAACGAAAAAAAAGAGCACAGATGTTACTCTTTCACTTTTAACGGACTTTTAGCTTTGTTTTTCACCCGAACATCTGGTATCTACGTGTCCCTTAGCTCCTTATCTTTCAAATGAGACTACTCCCGAAAAGCTAGACCAATTTTTGGGTCTGCAAGAGCTCCCGTAAGTACAGCTAGCGCTGCTGTGTGCGCATGGATCACTGATCTTTATTGTGGTCCTAACTTGTTTGCATTTACTTCCGGGATTTTCGATTGACATGTCCTTGTAGCCAATGAGGAAAGCTTTCGAACAAGGGGTGGGACAATGGTGTCCTGTCTTATGTTGTGCCTGTAGAATTGTGCTTAATGGCAGCCAAAAGACGCTCTCGAAGCTGCAATGAATTTACACTCATAAAAAAATAACTTTGACATTTAAAAAAGAAAAACACACATAGATTAGTAACTTATAAGTACCAATAATAAAAAATATTGTTTTTATGATGATTAAATGTAAGTAAAGATATTTGACACAATTTGGCACAATTGTGCCAAATTGTGCCAAATGTGCACTACTTGATGAAAAGGAGAAACTGCATAAAAACTATAAAACTTAGAAGCTGAAACTTTAGACAGTTGTTGTCAACAACACAATGACCACAGGGTTTGAATATTGTGAACTTACAAGGAAGTATGCCTTTTTTAGGGCCTTTAGAAATTGAAAATGTTAGGCGAGGTTAAAAAAATTGGGGTTTTTTCCTAAACTTCAAAGGATGCAGAGGGAAATAGGAATGACAAACATTATTTTAGTGTTTTTTTTACATAAATTAGAAAGCTCTAGCTTTAAAATGAAGCATCACACAAGCATGTGAGATGTAAGATGTGTTTTTAAATAAGCAAAGACATTTGGGTATGCCCAACTTTTGTGCACAAGCCAAAATGAGGCGGGTGTTAAGAGGATCCATTCACGCTAATATCAGAAGGTTCTGGCACAAACATGTAGCTCCGCCCCTTCTGCCTGAAAGCTCCCGTCTCAGTCCTGATGATGTCATCGCACCACTGTGACATCACACTCAAAACAAAAGTATTGCACACAGCTTTTGGCAACTCTTTACAAGAATGGTGTTTGCAGACGGTAATTTTCAAATTTAGAGAAAAACAAATTGAACTCCTCCCTCTGGTGGCAGCATGAGGAGTTACAGGCTGAAAGGTTCTCTGCCCCAAACTCCTTCATCTGACCGGGACTGTACTCTGACTGTACCGTTTCAGGGCCGCAGGAGGCGCGGGGACAGGCCCAGAGCTTCGTCGTCCACTCGCTCTCTGACAACATGTTGTTCAGCGCAGATTCTCAGCAGACGGTGATTGGACCAGACAAGCTGCGAGTCACAGGTACGGCCGCCACTGCACCGGACTGATGTGGTCAAGGGCGACTCCTTCACCACATCAAGAGACAAAGGGACGAATCGTTGGCATGGCGATGGATTGTATTGGAGTCTTTTATGATTGGACTCAGAAATATGTCCAAGGCCTGGACTCTGGGGGTGGCTGTAGATGAGGAAGTCAGGCCGATACTGACAATGGGTTTGAGGAAGACGACTCGGAAAATGAGAATATCTTTCAAAAGTCTGTTTACTTCTGTAATTCAACTTACAATAACTCAATAAGCTTTTTTTTGTTATAATGTTGATAATTTGCTCCCCGCTGTAAAAACCCAATACAACATCTCAAGAAATTAGAATATTCTGAAAAGCAAACAAAGTCTCTGCATAAGTCAAATAATGAGACTATATCATATATTAGACATTTTAAGTTGAAGTACAGAAATAAATGCTCCAAAGTCACACAAAGTGCTTAACTAAAACTAAATACAAGTCTCTCTCTCTCGCTCTCTCTCTCTCTCTCTCGCTCTCTCTCTCGCTCTCTCTCGCTCGCTCGCTCTCTCTCTCTCGCTCTCTCTCTCGCTCTCTCTCTCGCTCTCTCTCTCGCTCTCTCGCTCTCTCTCTCGCTCGCTCGCTCGCTCTCTCTCTCGCTCTCGCTCTCGCTCTCTTTCTCTTATTGCAACTGGAAACACAGAAAAATGCATGATATGTGTGATCTGTGGCGCGTGCTGCCTTTACCCCTGGCCTCAGTGTCAGAATGGGCGGGGCCTCAGTGTGGGCGGTGACGGGGGCCACACGCTGCAGCTGCTGATGGAAGCTGGGGGCCATGAGGCTGATAGTTCCATCACGCTCGGGGTCATGTGATCTACAGATGATGGTTCAGATCACATGATAAATGGCTCCCGCAGCACCTGGAGCACCTGGAGCACCTGGAGCACCTGGAGCACCTGCAGCACCTGGAGCACCTGGAGCACCTGGAGCACCTGCAGCACCTGGAGCCCATGCAGCACCTGCAGCACCTGGAGCACCTGGAGCACCCACACTGGGCTCACGGTGAAAAGACGAGAGTGTGTCATGTTGCTAATTATAGCTTATTTTATGAATGACTCTAACATCACTGCTCTGGGTAAAGTGCTGATGTAGAGATGGAGCTGAAGGTGCAGACGGGTGTCCTCTGTTCTCCTCTGAGCTCTTTCTTCTCTCTCTCTCCTTCTCTCTCACACACACCAGCTTCAGCTTCAAGTAAGTAAGTGAAGTTTGTATCGCGCATTTCACAGACCAGGGTCACAAAGCGCTTCACGGATTAAAACACTCAAAATACACATACAAGTCAGATTTAAAAACAAAAACACAGAAAAACACAGTTCACAGAGGCCTATGAACAGTGGGGCAAGAAAGCCTGTCTAAACAAATGCGTCTTAAGTTGGGACTTAAAATCATCGACAGTCTCTAAGATGCGCAGAGACTGAGGAAGCCCAGTCCAAAGGCGAGGAGCAACTGCCTGGATCTGTCTCCTCTGGTTTTACATTAAGCACTGTCACCAGCCACCACCAGGGTTTTATTTTCATTCTTCAGGTGATATTTGTGCCGGGGTCTAAGCAGAAAGTCCAAACCAGATCAACAGGTCCTGATAAATGAACCTCATAGAACTCTGTCCACCATGACACTGACTGATCACATAAGCCATATTTATTATTCCTTTTAGCGCAGGAACTGTTATTACTTTGATATGACACTGCACCTGAATCATATCAATCAATCAATCAATCAAAGTTTATTTGTAGAGCGCCTTTCATACACAGGGCAACACAAAGCGCTTCACAGTCCACATCACAAATCATCACATAAAACAAACACCAGAATCACAATTAAAACATTAGAATCACACAAAAGATTAAAACACAATTAAAACATTAAAATCACACAAAAGATTAAAACACAATTAAAACATTAAAATCACACAAAAGAATAAAACCATTAAAACTTTCAAAATTACACAAGAAATTTAAAAAAAAAAAAAAAAAAAAAAAAAAATGACAACAGTGCATTAGAAATGCAGATAAAATCCTTCAGTTGTATGCACAGGCAAACAGAACAGTCTTTAACCTGGATTTGTACATTGACAGAGTAGACGCCTCCCTCACATTTTCAGGGAGATTGTTCCAGATCTTAGCTGCATGGATCTGAAACGCAGCCTCCCCATGTTTGGTTCTCACTCTGGGCACCAGCAGGAGGCCAGTCCCTGTGCTCCTCAGAGTCCGGGCTGGTTCATATGACACCAACATGTCACTAATGTATTTTGGTGCAAGGCCATGGAGAGACTTGTACACAAGCAGAGCTGTTTTAAAATCTATTCTCTGAGCCACAGGAAGCCAGTGCAGTGACCTGAGGACCGGACTAATGTGGTCGTACTTCCTGGTTCTAGTCAGGACTCGAGCTGCTGCATTTTGGATGTACTGCAGCTGCTTACAGGTCTGTTTGGACAGACCTGTAAGCAGGCCATTGCAGTAGTCTAGCCTACTGGAGACAAATGCATGGACAAGAATCTCCAAGTCTGCCCTGGACACTATATTTCTAACTTTGGCAATGTTCTTCAGATGGTAAAAAGCTGTTGATGTTATTGATTTTATGTGGCTATTGAAGTTTAGGTCTGAGTCCAGTATTACCCCCAAATTTCTGACCTTGTCTGAAGGAAGTAGGGAGAGAGACTGAAGTTGACAAATGACGCCCTCTCTTTGTTTCTGGGGACCAAAGACAATGATTTCGGTTTTGTCTGCATTTAGCTGGAGGAAATTATTTTGCATCCAGTCACTGATCTGTTGGATACAGTGAAGGAGCAAATCCAGTGGTCCATGTTCTCCTGCAGTCAGTGAGACATAGATCTGAGTGTCGTCGGCGTAATTGTGGTAGGACACTTTGTTTCTTTGTATTAACTGACCTAACGGCAGCATGTAGAGATTAAATAGGAGAGGTCCCAGGATCGACCCTTGTGGTACTCCACAGGTCAGGGCCACATGATCTGAGACGCAGTCCCCAATCTCCACAAAGTACTTCCTATCCTCCAGGTAAGACCTAAACCATCAAAGGATATCAAAGGATAAACATGACCCTCCAACACGTCACATACAGAGCACAGATGATTATTCCTCTGTCAAATATGGACATTACTACATTAATAATAATAATAATACAAATATTAAAGAGGGTTAATCACTTTATAATGAATCCAGAGCTCATCGCTGCTGCTGTTGAGTTCATGAAGTCATCTGTTAGTGAGAGCTCTTACATCAGAGCAAGTGTTTAAAGTCCTGTTTGTGTGATTGCTGCAGCTGCTGTAGGACGACCGTCTCCTCATAACTCCTTAAGCAAAAAGAATAACAAACGACTTGGACTTTTTCTCACCTTCCAGAGACAGAACTGTTACTTAAAAACAAACGCAGTTCAATCCAAGTCTTTCCAAATTAAAATTTCCAGTCAAATAAAAGCATTCATGATTTTTTAAGACCATACAGCCAACGTTCATATCATCTCAAAGTAATATTGTGCGACATTTTCTCTGTTCTATTTATATTTGTCTTTTAGTTTAATCAAAGTAGTCAAATATACCACTAAATGATGTTGTTATAATCAGAATGTCTTAGATTTAACTACTATGGTTAACTCTGCAACAGAACTGTCAAAAGGGATCGTTAACATGGGCAACAAGAAGGTCCTGGGTTCAATTCCACCTCCAGACAGGACCTCTCTGTGTGGAGTTTGCATGTTCTCCCCCTGTTTGCGTACAATGTACAATAGTCCCCCCCTCTCAGACCCCGCTCCTGTCCCCTGTGTGGGGCCAGGAGTCCAGTGAAGAAGATCTCAGTGGGACTATTCCTGGTTAGATGAAGATGAATGTGTTTGTGTGTGTGTTTTGTGTGTGTGTTTGTGTGTGTGTGTAGGTCCTGAAGGCGCTCTGTTCCAACACTCGGTGGAGGTGCCGCTGCTGCGCTCGGAGCCGCTCAAGGACCTCAGGTGAGTTTCATCAACGACATGAGGGACTATTGTGAACTTATAGATGTTTAGTTGTAGCAGTTTTGACTCCAGTTCTATGTCCATATACTGTTCTATTGTTAATAATAATAATAATAATAATGCATTGGTTTTATATAGCGCTTTTTGGTGTGTTTTTTCGGCTTTATTGAAAAAACACACACACACGCACACAAACACGCACACAAACGCACACACACATCTAACTGGACACCTGTGTTCCAGGCTGGAGTCTCCCACCCGCTCCCTGAGTCTGGATGCTCCCAAAGGGGTCCACCTCAAAGCCCAGGCCGGGAACATCGAAGCAGCCTCCAACATGGACCTGCTGCTGGAGTCCACTCTGGGGCTGGTGAGAGAACCTGCTGATGCTACTGCTGCTGTTGCTACTGCTGCTGCTGCTGCTGTTACTGCTGCTGCTACTGCTGCTGCTGTTACTGCTGCTGCTGCTGCTACTGCTGCTGCTGTTACTGCTGCTGCTGCTGCTGTTACTGCTGCTGTTACTGCTGCTGCTGCTGCTGCTGCTGTTACTGCTGCTGCTGCTGTTACTGCTGCTGTTACTGCTGCTGCTGCTGTTACTGCTGCTGCTGCTGCTGCTGCTGTTACTGCTGCTGCTGCTGTTACTGCTGCTGTTACTGCTGCTGCTGCTGTTACTGCTGCTGTTACTGCTGCTGCTGCTGCCGTCACAAACACAGCCACACTCCTGCTCTTTTCACCTTTTTCTCTTTGTGCCGCTGGGATTTGAGTTTTAAAAAAAGCAGCCTCACGCTTCAGTAATCTCCCAAACCCACTCCTGCTGTGCGCTGGTTACTACGAGGAGGCTGCAAAAGATTCAGAAAAAGGGATTTATTTCTTATGAGATTTAATTTTTCTTGTAGTTGTTTTTTATTCACACACACTAAGCTCATAATGGCATCACAATCTGTTATACTTTCCAAAGGAGGTCAAAGGAGATTAGTCAAAGTTATGGCTAAGATTTGACCGACACTTCTAACTGGACACGAGCAGCAGATGTGACATAATGACAGTTAAAGGATAATTATCAAAGCAACCAGACTGTAAACAGAGGTCATCAGAAACTAAAATAGCACTAAACATATTTCAATGAAACCATGGACAAAAACAAGCACATTTCAGAGTTGGTACCATTTCTAGCTGAACCACAGGAGGCATGTGTTCTCTGAGATAAAGGTTGTCGGTTTGAGTCCTGCTCCTAACATTCAATCAAATTCAATCAATCAAATTTTATTTATGAAGCGCTTTTCATACAAAAGATGCAACACAAAGTGCTTTACAGTTTGGTTAAAAACAATCCCGCCGGCCCATGTCCCCTCCCCCCGACCACCCAACAGACCCATCCCAAACCACAGACAAACGCACACACGCTCCCATGCACACTCTGACACACACACACACACACACGCACACACACACACACACACACACACACACACACACACACACACACAAGTAAAACAGTAAAACAATGATGAGAGACTTGGCAGGGTTCGGATGCAACCAGTTGAAAAAGCGTCATCCTAGGAGCCGTCTGCACCAGGAGCAAAGAGCCGCCTGAAGCCACAGGGGACGACACAGGATCTAGAGGAGACCCGAAACCGAGGCCCCAGGCCCCCACCAGGTCCAAGAGTCCGACCCCCACAGCCACACCGACCACTGCTCCCAGTGCAGAGGGCTCCTCCAGAGGAAACACTGGGTACACTAAAAACAATATAATAACAATACAATATGTAAAACACAAAACTGTGAAACTAAAATGAAACTAAAATGAACTAACACACAATACATGAATAAAAGCAATAGCAATACAATAAATAATAGAGGATAAATAGAATATATAAAATGAAATAGTAAAAACTAATCAAAAGCTAATCTAAAAAGGTGCGTCTTGAGCCTGCTTTTAAAAATGTGAACGTTCTCTGCGGCCCTGAGCTCCTCCGGCAGACTGTTCCAGAGACGGGGGCCGTAGTGCTGGAAAGATGCCTCACCGTGAGTGTGTGTCCTGACTTTGGGGATGGTTAGAAGTCTGCTGCCGGAGGAGCGCAGGGGCCGGGAAGGTTCATAGGATAAAAGCAAATCTGAAAGATAAGAAGGCCCAAGACCATTAAGACATTTAAAAACCATTAAAAGAACCTTAAAATCGATCCTGAAACACACGGGGAGCCAATGCAGCGATTTTAAAACCGGTGTAATGTGGTCCCGCCCCCTGGTCTTAGTCAGGACACGTGCGGCCGAGTTTTGAAGTAATTGTAAACCTGAAATGTTCTTTTTGGGAAGACCAGAGAGCAGGGCATTACAGTAGTCAATGCGACTGGTGATAAAAGCATCAGCGTCTCCGTGTTGCCCCGAGAGAGAATGGGGCGGACTCTGGCGATGTTCTTTAGATGATAAAAACCTATTTTTGTGATGTTCTTGATGTGAGGAATAAAAGTCAGCTCAGAGTCAAAGATTACGCCCAGGTTTCTCACTTGTGATGATGGATTAAAAGAGTGTGATTGGAGTTTTGATAAAAGTTTCTCTCTCTGGGCCTCAGGACCGATGACTAAAACCTCAGTTTTGTCCTGGTTGAGCTGGAGAAAGTTTTCTGCCATCCAGGATTTCAGGTCTAAAATGCAGTTAAAAAGAGCATCCATTGGCCTGGTGTCATCAGGAGACATGGAGATGTACAGCTGAGTATCATCTGCATAACTGTGGAAGCTAATTCCATGTCTCCTGACGACACCGCCAAGAGGGAGCATGTACAGGTTAAAAAGGACTGGACCTAAAATGGAACCCTGGGGCACACCACATGTGATTTTATGGACCTGAGAGGAGCAGGTATCCAAACCTACCATGAAGGATCTGTCTGTTAAATAAGAAGTGAACCATTTGTGGACAGCACCAGAGAGGCCGAGGTGTTTCAGGCGGGATAAAAGAATGGTGTGGTCTACTGTATCAAAGGCAGCGCTTAGATCCAGTACAACCAACACGGTCACCTTTTTAGAATCATAACTTAGTCTAAAATCATTTAAAATCTTTAAAAGAGCAGTCTCTGTGCTGTGGTTCACCCTAAAACCTGATTGAACATTATCATCAGTGAGCGGTCAGATCACAGATGTCAGATGCTGCTGCCTCTTGAGCAAGACACCTTGTTTTTACTCTGGTGTATGAATGTGTGTGTGAATAGATGGATATTTTCTCTATTGATCCCGTAGGAAAAATACAGGTATCCGACTCCAGGAGCATCAGAAACACATCCATCCACACAAACAAAACAAATAGATCATTCTAAAAGTAGCTAACAATAGTATTAAGTTGCAACAGCATTTTAATAAAATTTTTATGTTTTAGCTCTTTAAATCTGCCTTCTTAACGACTAATCACCTGTTCAAAAAACCCATCAGTGTCGAATGATCAGCTGGGAAATGGTCCCAGTACCGATGACCCAACCAACTACTGTTCCAACCTGTTGCTGGATCCCAGAACAAAGAAGGGCTTCCTAAATAGTAATAATAGTTTTTTTTTTACTAGGAAAAGTAACCTGTCATATGTACATTTAATTGGTTAAAAACTACACTAAACCTTTTGAATGTTCTGGAAACGGCTGAAAGTGTCTCTGAATCTCGGCAGAAATCCCGTACAACCGTTCATCCAAAATTTGCAGAAGAAAATCCATATTGAGCTGCTCCTTCTGTGTTGATATATGGTTTTCCGGAGAGCGCTGCAGGGACAGAAGATGCTGTCGTAGCTGTCAGAGAGAAACTGATATTTCACACACTCATCACAGAGGCCTCGCAGCTGAAGCCCGGGCTGTGTCCGAGTGGCTCATGTGAGGGAACACGGGGAAAGGGTTAGCTCTCGCTGACTTCACACAATGCCACAGTTTTCCAGCCTCCAACTGGATCTTTCCAACCACATCTAAAGCTCCCATATGTGGCAATGGAAACAGAGAACAACAGATCTGCAGCTACTTCTTCAGCCTAAAGGAGGAGGCAGGAGATCGGTTTCATACTGAGGTGTGGAGGTTGTTTTCATTATACCAGAGGTTTTTTGTATCGTTGACACTGAAATGATCTTATAGTCTCCGCTTTTGGACGTGTACCATGTCACAATAGAGACATTAACAATTGATCTTCCCACCGAGAAAAGACATGTCGTGGACTCACATTTCCACACTGGCATTTCAGATTGTTCTGTGTATTTTTATGTAAATTTCATCTCATTGTGTGTTTTTTTATCAAACGAACAGCGTAGGATTAAAAACACGATTAAACCGATTTACATTCTTAAAACTGAATTGAAAACGTTGAGGTAAAAGTGTTATGGGAGAGAGGTGCAGTGTTGGAGAGTGTTTGAGCACGAGCCCTGACATACTGACAATACCACTCCAAGCCGGTGGGGGTGTACCCGGAAAGAGAATCATCCAATCCAGTTTATTTTTAATGCACTAATAAAAAGTGCTGTACATAAAAAGACGTACAAAAATATACAATTAGAGAAAACAAAGCAGTGGCAAAAACGCTCTATTTACCGCTAAAAATCAACAATACAATAAGCCGCAGAATTACCCAATGCTTTTGGGCGTCTTCTTTCCTCTCAAACGTCTTTACAGGATGGTCCAAAAGTCGTCATCCACAGTGTCATCCAGCCAACTTCAGCTCCTACAATAAATCTGTGCCGTACCTCCTTGTAGAGCCCATCACTTCTTAAAGCCACATGTTTTTAACTTTGTTACAAAATCCCGTCTATGGCACAAGTGTAGCTGGTGAGAAAGTAAACATTTGTCATTCAACCAACTTCAGCTCAGTCTAGACATCCCTGTTTTCTGTGAATTGCTGAATTGCCGTGTACAGTGTGTTGTGTTGACGGTGAGAGGGGGGTGGGATTAAGTAAAAGTAATCCCTTCTGAAAACCTTGTACTTGTGCTGTGTCTCTGTATTGCGTTTATGTATTAGAACGCTCGCTTCTCAGTCCTGGGTTCGAATCCCGGTCGTAAAAGGGCCTTTCTGAGTGGTGTTTGCATGTTCTTCCTGTGTCTGCTCCGGTTTCCTCTGGGTGCTCCGGTTTCCCTAAAAACATACACAATAGGTATGATTGTAGTGAGTGAATGGCTGGTGTTGATAGAATGGAACAATATCTGATCATTCTAGAGCGCTTTGGGTGACCTTGCTCTGTAAAGTGCACTATATTACGTACTTATGGTGAGTGTGTGGAATATAGTGTGTTTTTGATAAATGTTTTCATGTAATCTTTGAGTGACACTGACTGGCCGTTGTCTGCCCACAGCTGGTCCTGGACGCAGAGACGGTGCGCATGCCCAGTCTGCCCCTGAGCTCTGGGGGGATGTCGGGGAACGCACAGGGGCTGTTCGAAGTGTGCGTCTGTCCCAGCGGGAAACTGTTCCTGTCCAAGGCCGGGGTCACATCCACCTGCAGCGACCAACAGGACTGCTGAGCCCGCATCACACGGGTCATCAACAACACAAGCACAAGGGGTTCTAAGGGTACGAAGATGAACAAAAACACATTTCTACTGGCATTTTAACACAGCTGCAGAAACTGACTGCTGGAATAAGCTGGTAATGTCAACGGATGTGTTTTTTAAAGGCATTTGTAACTATAGTTTTCTAGCGGTAAACTGGCAACTTAAATTGTTACTTTAAAAAGAAATCATGGCTGGGCAATGAGGAGCTGGTTTACAGCTTACGTACTATGCAATATGTTTGTGGTGCAATAAATAATGTTAGTCAAGGGCTTGAATATAGCAGTGTACATATTTATCTGGATTTGTAGTTCTAAAGCCCTAAAGTGTGTGATTTATATTTTGAATGCATGTTGTTTTTACTTGGCCATCACACTTATAAACATTCACAGGTCTGTCCAGCATTCTGCTCATTTGTTTTGAAAACCAGCTGCTGGCAAGTGTTAAAATAGCTCTGGTGTGAAATGACCCAAAGTGAGGTCACATTTCTTTTCTGGATTAAAAATGGAACTACTGTATTTGTGTGTTCTGGTGTCATAATTCATACTATGTTCCATATTCACGTGTACAATTTGTTTTTAAAAAGTTACGTATTTATTAAATTTGTACAGAAACATAAATCCCAAGATGTACTGTCTTGTGTTGCTCACTGATCAGTTCGGACGGTGCTTTGGCGCGCTCTAGTGGAGGATGGACGCTACTGCAGCTCAAATGAACGTTCACATGAAAGTTCTCCTTCAGTATCCTTTATTTCGCCAGAACAGTGCACATACAACGCACAGTGTTGTGACAGTCGTACCCTATACAGTTTAATCCAGGTCGCCACCCTCATGAAAGGATTAATGCCACAATGCATATTTCAGATGATATTGTAACATGGTAAAGAACATGGAAACAAAGCCATAAAAGGAGTCGTAAAAGTATTATAGGCAGAATATCATGGATTATTTTGCTATAAAGAGATGCATCAAGAGACAAACAAAACAATCAATAAAAATGACATTCACAGCTTGGCTTTTCATACCCTCTCAAAAGGTTGAGTAGAAGTGAATAAATGAATGAGTTTTCCAAAAGTGCTTGCTGATGTTCAGCAGTTACTAAAATAAAAATCAAATACATGTCAAATGTACAACAATGATTGCAAAAAGGATTGCATTGTAAAACTAGTAAACTACACATCGGTTCATTCATCCGTCCATTTGTAACATTGTTAAAGCAATTTCTATCACAAGAAAATAATCATATAGAAAACTTGAACGTAAAAAAGCAGCACATATTTTCTGATTTACACAAAAAAAATGAACACATGAATTACATATCATGACTTTGGCAAATAAATGGTAGAGCAGGGTTTTTCTCTACATGAGGCGCCTGCTTCTGAATGAAGCGTCCTGCTCCATTGCACCATGACCCAGCATGAATCTGATGTCAGCTGGACGCTGCTCAAAGGGGTATTGCTTTACCAGTCATTTCAGGGTATTTGCAATCAGCCATTACTTTGTTCTTTGAGCATTTAAAGAAGTAGACAAAATAATTGTACAGGTGTTTTTGCAGATCGCATAAATCACTATTTTTCTACAAAAGTAATGCATCTTTTATTGGCCAGACGTTTGTCTAGTATAAAACTATTATACTTTTTGTTGCACAAAGGTTTCAAGCTTTATAATGATCCGGGCTGTACACTCCATCACTCTCATTGCTACTTCAGACGTGAACCGGTCATTGGGAATCTGAGGAAACGGGAGGAGATCTGGGTAACGGGTCCTGAGACTGTCCACCCCGTACCCTTCCAGGATCTGGACGTCGTTGGCCAGTCCTGCTAACTGGCCATTATACTCCTCCACTTTCTGCGCCAGTGCCGTGGGCTTCACATCTTTGTCCGACTTCCCTCGGACTGCATAGTCTGCAGCGATCAGGGCTAGCTTTGTCGCAAGGTAGCATTTAAAGCAAACCCACTCATTGGCATTTTTGTGAAGATCGTTTCGAGCCGCAGAATAGTTGGCTCTGGCTTGCCTCAGCCATCGACGAGCTTCTACAGGGTTACCCACGGTCTTGAAGGTTGGGGGTACGAAGAAGCGGTGCGAGTGGGAGGAGCCTGCATAGCTTTGGTTGTGCTCCCTGAACTGTTGTCTTTCGGACCTATGGTTGGTTGCCTCTTGGTTCCACGTGGAGTAATACCTTTGATAGGAGAACTTATCTGACTGAAAGCGTGTGGACGAAGAGGAATAGGGTCGTCTTGAGGTCCTTTCATTGTTTTGCTGATCTATCAAAGACTGCTTTTCCATTCGGCTTATCTCGTTCTGCAGATGCTTGAATACCTCTGTCGCCACGTCCAGGTTCTCGGCATTTTTGTCTGGGTGCCATTTGAGATACAGTCGCCGGATGATCTTCTTCCTCTCGGTTTCCGGAAGCTTCCATGCTTGCTCAACAACTAAAGTCACTTCTTTGAGGATCTCAGGTAATGCATGTAGTTTGATCTTTTTTGGTGACTGTTTTTGGGGTGGAGGCCTGAGGTTTTCTTTGCCTGTGAATATTGGAGGCATCATCCGAAGAGTGGATGATCGAATGTCTGGACTTGTAGGTGTTGATGGGGAACTGGTGTCTCTTGCTTGACTGTTTTCATCTTGTCTTGAAAATTTATACAAGTCAAGGGAGCTGACAATTTTGTACTCGCTGTAGCCAATGTCAATCTGGAAACATTTCCCGAGCACATTGCTGTTTTCCTCTTCCTCTTTCTCTACTTCCTGCACAATGATGGCATATGTGTAGGTTGGCTGGTATGACCCATAAATGTCTCCTCCCTCTGAATCTACCAAGTAGCCCACATACTCTCCAGGGTAGAGTGGATCCATCAGTAAAGTGTGATGGATTTCTGCTGGTATGGGAGTTCCAGGAAGAGGAAGCTCTAGTTTTGAAGGTTCAGTGGAATCATACTTCACCCCGAGATTGTCCAACTTTTCTGTGATCCGATAAATGTCATTACAACCCAACATGGCAATCAAATATGAAGTGTCTGAAATCAAGTTGTCAGTGGCAGACTTAAGTGTCATTGCGAGTGCAAGTAGAAAATTAATGTCTTTATTGTCTGAATGCTGGATGTACAGATGAATCACAGCAGTGCCGTACCGCTTTAGAAAGGCTAAAGTTTCGCTGCGGCTATGAGGGATAGCCGGGCAACCTTTCACTCTTAATGTCGTCTGGAGTTTCTCAAAACAAGACACTTTTAATCCTTCACAGAGTGCTTTGCAGAGACGCAAAGCCTTCTCTTCATTCACTAAATAAGCATTATCATTTTCATGTTTCATTATTCGGATCAGTCCAGTGATGAATTGTTCCGATGAAAGAAGCAGCTGCAGACGGCCTTGGAGAGAGCAGAGTGCACCAAATTGGCACATTTTTGGAGAGTCTTCATCAAGCTGTTCTTCAAGGATACTGCTCAACAATCGTGGCCGTAGTTTAGGTGGAAGCAGCATAATGAGCTTGGTGTGGAAAGCATAGTCTTTTCCTAAGTAGCACTGGCTCATGTCTACCAGCATCTGCACACCTACATTTCCCTGAATTCTGCTTTTGTAGTGTGGAGCATCGTCAAACACCAAGCCATTGGATTTGACTAAACGGCCATCGTGACTGGGCAGATAAAAAATTAAATCCCGCAGACTCTCTAGATCTTTGCGTATTTCCACTGGATCATTATGTAAAGATTTTAATAGTCCTGAGACGATCCTCTTGACAGTTCTCATTTCATTTGGGTCAAGGTGTTTTCCCTCTGAACTTCTGTAAATACGTGCAAGTACTTCCACATATTGTTTAATTGAAACGACGTCTTCTGTGCCAAGCAGCTTGAACAGCTGATGAAATGTCCCAAGCTCTAAGGGTAACTTATACAAGTAAGGCTTGAAGTCAGATTCATTGTCCAAATTAATGACTACTTCTTCAGGTTTCAGCAACTTCCAACCATCTTCAACAATGACAAAGGGGACTCCACGAAGTTGGTAACGGAAGTCTCTCTTATCTGCACTGAGAAACTCATACGTTGATCTCAAGATTTTATTTCGGGTTTTCACCATTTCATCATCTGGACTGGAAATGGAACAAATGTTCTTACAGTTGGTGATCACTTTATCCAGTGGTGGGTCAAGGTTTACACACAGCATACTGAGTATTTGGTCAAGCTGCTCTTGTCCACTGAGCGTGTTCCCCTTTTGATCATTTAGACTTGATGGTGTCGCTTTTTCAGGCAAGATAGGACAAGAAGTCCAAACCAAGTTAATGATATCTGTTTGCTTGAATTTTGGATTGACTTGAGAGCCACTGAAACGAATGAGAGGAAGTGTACCACCCACTTCTTGATACTGTGGGTGAAGTTTGATCAGTTCTTTTGGAGCTCTCTCTGGGCACAAAAATGGAATCATAGACAGCTCTTTCAGAAAAGAGCCTTGGAATAGATCAACTCTGTCTTTGAAAATGTGGTTTAGAAGAACATCGACTGTGGTTTGAACCTTTTCTTTGGGCCAGTTTTCAGTTTGAGACTTGATGCTTATTTCTTTTGCAAACTGAAGAATCTGCTGCTGTGAAACTTCATGTTTAAGTCCAATTATCCGAAGAAAGGTGATCCATGATGATAATTGGAGAGCTCCATTTTTTGGTTTGGAAATCTGTTCCACTTTTCTGAAAAATTCATTTGGAATAAAGGACTTTTGAAGAAGCATAACGTCAAAGACTTCTACCGTCTTGTCAAAGAAAAACTTTGCTTGTCTGAGACGAGTGGTACTGTCATAAATAAACGACAGTCCCTGCAACTTTTCATAAAGTTGTTCTTTCACTTCATTAGACTCTTCAATCGACATGAGTCTCTCTTTTAAATGGACAATGTGTTCCACTTTTGCATTGTAGGTCAGGCTTTCAAACTTTGGCAACAGATGTTGTAGATAAATGTCTAAGTCATCAATAGGTGTGCAGCCCAGAAAGGTATACAGTTCTTTTAGTTGAGGGTTGTCAGCGAGAAAGCCATAGGAGGCATTGTGTGTCCACTTATCTATGTCTGCAGCAGGTATTTCTTTAGTGAGAACAAAGTTGGAGATTGTGTTTGCAATGTTGATGTACTTTCCGCTGACAGATTTAAAACACGGGATAAGCTTCAGACTTGGAATGTCCTGTTGTGTTAGGTTCGTTAGGTTACAGTTGAAATACAACAGCAAGGCCTCAAAGTCTTTATCTGTGAAGTGGACAGACTTGAATGTATTCGTCTGAATCATGTACTCAAGAGCCTTCAAAACACTTGAAGGATTTTCAATGTTTGCAGTGTGCTGAAGTAAAAAGGGCAAAATGGGATTGTCTTTGGCACACATTTTGTTGACAGCCAATTGAATGCATCCTGCTTTCATCAGTGTATGAAAGACTTTATCATTTTGGCCTTGAGGAAATATGGCTATTTTCATCAGGCTTAGAGGTAAAAGCAAATCATGCTCAGGAAGGACAAGTTTTTCTCTTGCCATAAACTTCACTCCTGGAAGAAGAGCCCAGTCTTTCAGGATTTCTACAACTGTGTCAAAGCCAGGTTTCATTTCCACCTCATCCTCGTTCACAGCTGTATTCTCACTGATAAAGCTCCAGACATTTTTAAGCCAAGACTCGCTCTGGAATGAGTCTCTCCATCTGACCGGAGCTTTTGCGCGATATTCTCTCGGTAGAACAGACGCAAGCATCTCACCAAAGCTGTCGATGTCAAATGTTTTTGCTGCCCCTGCTTTTATCAAAATTTCACTGTATTTGATATACATTGCATTCATGAACATTTCTTTTCTTGGTGGTATGAGTTCGTGATGTGTGGTGAGGAACTTTGGCTTTTTTACATCAAACAACTGCAGCATGTTGTCCATTGTGACCAGCAAAGGCAGCCCCTCTATCTTGAAGTCTTCCTCCTCAATGTCTTTGAAGCAGTAGTCAACAAGAAGTTTTAAATTATGAATGAGCTTGTAGTTTGACTGCTGAAGACGGCAAGGCAGTTTCCCAATTTGGCATGACGTGTCTGGGGCTGAGAACGTATGGAGAAAGTTGCATACATCCTTTGGGGTGACATACACTACTGGTATCCCGGCATCTTCTAACCCAAGGTAAAGATTTGCTGATTCATCACAACTGTATACCAGATTGAAACCAATATCCAGCAGCAATGTTTTGAGCCGGTAGACGTTTTCAGCCACGGACTTCCTCGAGGTAACATTCTGCTCTGTGTTTTTCAGATAGTTTAGCTCGTCTTGCAGCAAATTGTCGAAATATACCCTTCCTTTGTTCACGGGAGATGTGTTTACCCATGAAATGTAAATGACAGAATGCATTTCAGAGTTGTCGATGTGTTGTGGAGCTCTAAGAACAGGGAGCAGTCGCTTTTGTTCTGCGTGAATGCATAGATAGACGGCTTTCACAAGGCAGTACCAGTCGGCCTGAATATCCATTTTATTGACTGGGAAGAAAAACAGATATTTTTGTAGAATGTCTTTCACAGCATGAAGTGGTGTCGCCTGTACGATTGTCATTGTGGGATCAGGGCCCGGGAAGTATCGCCGCTTTAGCTGAATGAGCAGTTCTACATATGCTGGAGCTATGAGTGATGTCATTAAGTTATTGTTCCAATCACTTCTGACACCTACTCCATTGTCATCTCTCCACAAGTTTCTTCTGGCAGAGTCAAGAGCAAAATGTCCATTAACATGAAAGGGCAATCCAGTCTCCAGCGACAGAGGAAGAAAACAAAAAGCTCTGTGGGTCTTTTTGTAGTTATGGCTGACACAAGCAGCTACACCTCCCCGAGGAAATAGAGTTATATCCTCATTTTTGTGAGCTGAGATGACACTTTTTGAGACGTTTTCAATGTCAGGAAAGCCTGAGCGATTGCAGATCATCCATGTTGTCAAACTACCATCTGAATCTTCTATGTCCAATGTGTACGTTATCTGTTGGGCTGGAATGGCAGAGAGGGACTTCTTTTTTGTCACACTATCGATCACTGAAGCATGGAACTGTTTTCGCTTCAGGCGGTCTCCGTCTGTAATTTTAGCTGTTACTGAATACAACACCTTTAGCTCTCCCGTTGAGCTTTCAATTTGACAAATTGATATCTTTTCTATGTGATTCAGAAACATTACAAGTTCTGCACCATCACTTTTTAGTTTATCCAGAAGGTTTTGGACCATTCTGTCTGATGCTGGAACAGGACAAATCTCTGATGTCTTTGCCATCTCAGTAGAACGAATAGGAAATCGAAACATGGTACTGCGTTCCAACTTAAAATGAGCCCCTAGATACAGATTGAGCACATCTGAAAATTGGGATCTAAAGTCTGAGTCCAAATCTCTGAACATTCTTCCAGGACTAACTGAGGTAGCACCTGGGGCAAACTGGGCATGTGGGTCAAAGATGCACAAGATGTCGTTGTTTGAAATGAAGGAAGGGCAGTCCGTGATGTGATAAACTGAGTTGAATCCGATACCATACTGTCCGGTTTTGCCTGGATTGGCCTCCTTTGTGCCTCTTCCCAAGTTCTGTATTCCCCTTACGTCATCCTCTGTGAATGGCTGGTTGTTGTAAACACACAGAGCTGGACCTTGCATTGGAATCCATTTATCATCAAATATTCGGTCAGTGGGATGTGTTCTCGGGTCAAATACAAAGTAGATCTCTGTGGCTTTGGCGTCATCTGCGTTTTGAAGCAATTCTTTCAACATTTCTTTCTCTGAAGGATATGCATTTAGAATACTTTTAATCCTGCTGGTGAGTTTCTCTTTTTGGCCAAACTCACTACCAAGAGTACTGAAGCAAACATTTGATGCGTACCTCTCCAAGGCTTTGTGCCGTTTTGGGACTGCACCAAGTTTAACAGCAACCTCCCGTGGAATATCTGCGTGGCAGTACTTTACAGACGAGTCTCGCACTTTGATCCAGGGACAGTCATTGTAGCACAGTGACTTTGATGGCTGCAGAGTTAGCCCAGAGTCAGGTAAAAGGATTCCACCAAAATTGGCTTGGCAGTATTCCTGATTTTTATCTCTGATCAAGCTCCAGAGGCCTTCACTGATAATTCGACGACTTAGTTGGAAGTTATCTTCTGTAAGCGATTTTCGGCCGCATTGTTTTTTCAAGGTCTCGAGGACAGAGGAGAAGTTCTCCACTGAGAAGCTGGGCTGCACTCCCACATTTTCAAACAACTCTCGGCAGCTGTTCCTATATTTATTTGGTAGTTGGTAAAGATAAGGAGCTGCATCAAAATTTAAGTAGAATGAAACCTTGGATGGATTAACGTAAGTGTTTTCCACTAAGATACAGTTGAACGATTTGAGTTCATCTGTGATTTGTGCCTTTGCCGTCTCATCCTGTAACATTTCTTCATGCAGATATTTGTAACAGGCATTTGTTATGTTTTCTTGATATAGTGTGACACCATCAAACGATTGGGACAATGTATTGAGCTGTTGAATTACCAGACCAACTGAGGGCTTTCTTATTAGTCCAAGGTAATCTTTCACAGCCAGCGAAATTGCTCCACAACCTTTAAAAGATGGAGAGTTTTCATTCAGGATAGGTTTGATTAAACACACCGTGTCCTGGTGCTCTGTTGTAAAGAGTTCTTTAGCAGAAAACATGGTGGTTGGCTCAAAGTCATTCCCATGCCAGGGCAGCGAGAACCCCGCAGGTCTTGTAAGAAATGGAAGAAACTTTGTGTTCTGTAGCCTTTCAAGAAGCTTGGGTTCTCCGAGGTCTCCCATTTTCAGTTTCTCATCTATAAGGCTGAGAAGGATGCTGCTGCGAATACAGGCAGACATGTGGTTGCTTTCATTGAGCTCATTTACAGACTCTGAGCGTTCAGTGATGTCTTCCCATGACAGATCATCTTTTGCCATACCTAACTGCACAAGCTTCACCAAACACACAGGGTTGAGGTAGTCTTTGGTTGTCCCTTCAGGAAATCTCCCATCATCAGGGTTGTACAGCTTTGCAACTCTTCCCTCGGGGTGAATGAGTCGACAAGGAAGAACCAGCTCCTTTTGGGGGCCAGAACACGGTATGCAAGGAGTGTCCCTGAGTATTGGGGCGAATTCTTCCAGTTTTTCATTTAAAACATACTGCATCAATGGATCTCGCAGCTCTTTGTCGATTTCTTGTATGTGAGGGAAAAACACATCGGTAAAGAACTGCTTTTCCGTCAGGGTGTTTTCCAAGAGCTTTCCTTTACACCCAGCATCATCAAATCCTTCTTTTACCCATTCAGGGAGCTCGACTGCACAGAGGTTTTGTGATCCGCTTTTCTTGAGGTATTTCAGGAATATTTTGAAAGCAGATGGGCCAATGTCTTGTCTGCAAAGTAGAGCATCATCAAGGAATCTCACGGATTGGATAGAGACCCATGATATTCCGTCTGAGAACACTTTAGCCTGTTCACCATCTCCTCCTTTGGCTATTTCCTGGTAGACGCCTTGACTGATCAGTGTGAAGTCATCGTGCACTTGTCCAGGATCAGGCCACGCTGCATAATAGTTGTAGTTGAGCAGTTCTTCATTCTCTGCCATTATTCGTAGCATGGTGAGCGCTGACAAATACGCCTGAACAATGACATGTCTCATGAAGATTGAGTTCCACTGGCCCTTAGTGTCAGTTTTCCAAATCTCTTTGCGGTTTGAAGTAACAGCAAAGCATCCATTTATATGGATTGGCAGACCTGTTTTGATTCGGAGAGGTAGGTAACAAAAAACCTCTCCAATGTGAATGTTGCTGGTCTTTACCATCCATTTACGATTTTCTTCCTCTGACAGCAAAACAGCAACACCACCGCAAGGCACTAGTCCGAGTCTTTTCCCACTGTCGTTAAGGGAAAACTTGAGCGCTTCGTTGATATCCATGCACGATGCAATGAGCCAGTTGGTGACCTCAGTAACTTTTTGGGGCATTTCGTCAGTATGGCGTTTGGACTGTATTCCTTTAGCAGCCATCTCAAAGTACTGATTCGGGTCTTCCTCTGGACCTCTGAACAAAGGGGAGTGGAGATCAACAACGCGTTTGAACACATTATGAAACTCCTCGACCACGACGCGTATGATACAGCCAGACTTTGGAGCGTCGGCTGGTACCTTGTTGGTGCTCGCAGCCTTTTTCATGACCCTCGCTGCTGTTTTGAGGATACTTAACGGCCCATATGAGGCTTTAGATGTCCAAACGCTTTTGTTGATTGTTACTACGTCTTGTGCTGCAGCCGGATTTGCTTCTTCATACTTGAGGTACTTCAGAACCATGCTTCCAACATGCTGAGTGAACAGAATGAAGCGATGACCGCAAAGACTGAACTCATCAACCAATGAATAAACGTCTGCCGTGTTGTAATAGAAAGTACTGATTTCACTCGTTGAAGCTTCCTGCTCTGTTCTGAAAGGCAGTCTGAAAAGTGTCCCGTCGAATTTGTAAGGGGAGTCCTGGGCAAGAGGAAGCTGGCAGTTGAAGACATTTATGAATGGTTTGAACTGGTTGGGAAACTTTCGTAACCTCTTTTGCTGTTTGCTCCAGTTGATTTTGATGCCTGGGTTGGACGGGTCTCGTATGTGCTTGCTGATGTGATTGATATTTGGGTCAAACATGATCATGAATTCTCTGCTCATGATTATTGGGATATCTGTAATGTGATACACAGAATTAAATCCCAATCCAAATTTTCCAACTTTATCTGCCTCACATCTTTTAATTGATCCTCCTAACCTTGTAATGTTGAGGAAGTCTGTGTCAGTAAAAACAGAATTGTTGAAAGACCACAATGATGGTCCATGGCAGGCGATCATTCCTGGGTCAAGGAGATTTTCACGGATGTCTGTGTTCTTCCGCATGTCAATAAGGAAACTGCATTCGGTTGCACTTGCATCATCTGCATTCTGGAGCAGCTCTTTGAAAATGTCTGCTACAGAAGGATATTCCTCAAGAATATTTTTGATTCTGACCGTTAATGGTTCTCTTTGGCCGGATTGCTCAAAGCCAAGGTTTTCAGGATTGATCAATCTTGTGCTCAAACATGGCACTTTCAGCCACTCTGCCGTCTTCATTGGAATATCGTCGTGCACAAGTGTGATAGGCTCTGAGGAATCTTCAAGTATATCATTCAAGTCATCTACTTTAATGTCACAATAGGTGCACTCATGAATAGGCTTCATGGCTAATTTGTTTGGGTTTTTATAACAAAGAATAGGCACATGCATGTTGGTGTCTACGGGGATCTGATTGTTGTACAGCCATCTGAGGATATTGATCAAAAGGAGAATATTGTGTTTGTTTTCTTCTTTTGTCATTTCTTCTCCACATCGTTTCTGAACACTGTTGATGACATCAAACACATGATCGGGAACAACCTCTTCAATAGAGCCACAAAAATGGAAAAGTTTATGAAACTTTCGGATTGTCTTTGGCAATGAATACAGATAAGGCTGTAAGTCAAGATCAGGGAGGGGCTTGAGGACTGTTTGGCCAGGGGTCGAAAATGTCTTTCCTGTCCACACCCAGTCAAAAGCCAAAGACTTCAGTGCTTCTCTGGCATCTTCAAGATGAGCCTGCATGAAACCATAGATCTCAAACAGAATCTGCTGAAACTGATACCAGTCTTCTGTAGTGAAGGCCTGTGACTTATGCCAGTCGTTCACTGCTTTTAAATGCTGCAACACTTGATCAACTTGAGGATCGAGTTTTAACTTGAGTGACTTCTTCATCCCTCCGGAAGTGTGTTCAGCCAGTGCTACAGAAGAGCCCACGAGTACCGCATGGGAAATGTCACACATTTCAAGAAAGGAACAGATGTTTACTTTGTCCCCAATCCAAGCTAAGGTTTTGGGGTACGTTGGGGGTCTTTCTTTGCAAACAGGGACCCATTTGAGTTTGAGCAGAGAAGTTTGGACGTCAGTGGATTTGATTAGCTTTGTCTGCTTGTTTAGGATTTGTAAAAGGGTTTTAGCTTTTCTGGTAATCGCTGCCCAATCTGGTTCTTTCTTACTTTGTAAATCCTCTATTTTCTTAGCAATATGAAACACATCCTTTTCACTTAATTGAACTTCATTCCTCAGCCCCAGTTGTCGAAGCGAATGTAAAGTATCCGGTGATGAAGTGTATGCACTTGTAGGAAACTTTGTTTTCTCCTCCATGTAAAACAGATTTTGAAGAATCTCAAGCCCTGGGTCAAATAAATCTGAGGCTGTGACTGTTTTTCCACATGGCAGCTGAATAAATTTAATTTTGGAAAGCCATGAAATCACAGCAGAGTTTTCATTCTTGAGAAATGCCAGATGTTTAAGTGCCCAAAGCATGATTTGGTTTATGTCATCTGTTTGATAATATCCCTTTTCAATATCCTGCACAATAACCTTCAGACATTCTGTTGTTTTCACCTGCTCCACATTCATCATCTTTACAAGTCGGATAGACTCCTCATCACGGCAGCTCACAAGGTTAATGGATACTTTCACATCTGGTGGGTACTTGGCTCTGTGATGCAGTGCTCGGGCGCCTCTCAGCGATATGTATTTTGAACCACCTTCTGCGGAGCTCCCCACTTTCTCAAAGATGGAAAGCTCCAGCAGTGCGTGTTTTTCTCTCTCTGTGATATCAGATAGTCCTGCCAGAAAGTTTCTCAGTGCTATTTTCTCTTTTACCGAGAAAGACGACACCAGACCTGCTAAACGCTGCGTAGACAAGCGGTCCATATTTTGCAGCAGGACGCTCGGCGAGAATGAATGGATATAAAACCTAAGTTGAGGATGTTGCAAACAGGAATCCAGCTTTTGAATGACTTTGATCCCCAGTTTGTCCATGATGTGCAGCAGACTGTCGGACACACTGAGCTCCTGGTCGCTCACATGAACGATGGGAGATGGGGTTTTGAGGCGGAGCAGGGTCACACATTTGATGCCATCATGAAGTGGCTCGAGTGGAATCAATGGCATGTCGTCAAAGGGACTCAGATCGTCTGCAAATTTTATGTATAAATGTTTCCAAAGCATTTTAAGCCAGGACACGGTTGGATGCTGCAGCTCCTGGTTCTCAGGCTCCCATTGCACGGTCAAGTCTCTGGTTGGCCAGGCCTTGGTCAGGATCTCCTTGATGAGTCTGGCGGAGCGCTCTGGGGTCAGCACTTGCAGCTGAGTACAGGGCCTTCCTGTCACAGAAACAACAGTCAAATGTCAAACACACATCAGAGCAACAGTCATGCAGCTCATACGAGTATTTTTGCACAGTGTCTTTTGCCACGCTCAAATGGTATAATTAGGGCTGTCATAAATAAATAGATTAAACGCAACTAATCTATTATTGAAATAGTGCTCATCGATTATTATTGGCATTATTGTAAAGCGCTTTGTGACTGGTCTGTGAAAAGCGCTATACAAATAATGACTACTACTACTATTATATCATTTTTTTTACTTTACACAGACTTATTTAAGAGGAATTCTCTAATGACTGTAGAATTAAATGTGGGAGGCATCACATGTGCTTTGTGTTGGTCAAATGTATGCAAAAATACCATATTCATTGAACTTTGAAGATCTCAACGACTAAACGATGAATCCAAAGAATAATCAGCCAACAAATCGATTATCATAATTATAGTTACTTACAGCCCTAGTACTTATGTGTGGATATTACTGGCCTAAGACAAATATGCAAAATATGTGTTAAATCCAGGGAATATTTTCTCTATATACTGCAGACAATAGATTGACTTCCAAGGAGGAAAAACAATCCACAAAAAGCACAAACAAACATTATTATCTCACAAAACACAAGTTACATCTGGTTAATGCAGTGTTTTTCAACCACTGTGCCGCGGCACACTAGTGTGCCGTATGATATTGTCTGGTGTGCCGTGAGAAATTCGTCTACTTTGTCTAAAAATAACTGCATTCGCTGTTGACGAGCGGTGACTTGTTTTGAACTGTGGAGTAACCATGTAATACTTTTTCAAATCAGTAGATGGCAGCAGATAGCTAAGTACTTTGAAACTGAAAAATTGGATGCGACCACTGACAGCCAGTGGTCGCATCCAATTTTTCAGTTTCAGGTCAGCATTGTGGCGAGAAAGGTAAAATTGGATGCGACCAACAAATGTGGGAGGGAGCGAGACAAGAGCTTTGTGGCGAGTGAGAAGTGAAAGTGATAGAGACGTTTTTGAAAATGAATTATGCCGTTTCTGAACAGGATTAACATCCTCCGCTCTGCCCCGGGGCAGCTGTGGCCGCGTTGTAGTGGTTTAACTATGAAATGTACCATTTTTGTACAACAGCTCTCGTGAACGCACTTCTGAACTGGGTACCGAGCGCAGACCATAGTCGAGTGGACAGAACCACAGACATGCGGACCGGACAGAACCATGGACTCGCGTTCAGGACCTCCCGTGTCCCTCATCCAAAACTCCTGAATTTAAAGCTCGGATACCTAAATTTTTCCCATGCACTAACAATGCATGTTCTTTGTGTGAGTTATTATTTGACTATGGGCAGAGAGTGGATTTTCTTTTATTTTTTTCCACACAGTTAGTGCCACTTTATTCCCAAACTCTTGTTAATTGTATCGAGAAATATTAAATAAAGCTTAATGTCAAGGCCTGGACTTAAGCATTTTGATGAGAATAACTGTATATTGTGAATATAGGCTACAGAGTATACAGTATACATTATAAGATAAGATAAGATATACTTTATATATCACACAGAGTATGTACAGTATATATTTTTACATTAGTACTGTATACATTTTTACATTTTCTCCTGGAGGTGTGCCGCAAGATTTTTTTCAGTGAAAAAGTGTGCCTTGGCTCAAAAAAGGTTGAAAAACACTGGGTTAATGAAATGGGAACACTGAAAGGATGCACAGCTGGAGGTAAAGTCAGAGACGTTTACTCATTAGGGCTACACATGGTTTGTCAGACATGATTCCAGACCCAGGTTTACAGAATCCATGTTATAGTGATTTAGTACTTTTATATTAAGTCAAAGTGTTTGTGTTAGTAATGTGTGTACCCATAGTGTTCTCACATGGGTTGCTCACATGTGAGCTATAAAATGTCCCCACTTTTAGACGGATAAAAGAACCTGTTATCTAATGTTTGGAAGAGTGACTTTGCCCATAGCAGTTTGGAGCACACGTGACATTGAAACGTGTGTAGCCGTAATTTGCCATGCTGAAACATGTTAAACAGATGTAATGCCGTTAGAGTGGGACATCCAGGTAACTGCACATTAGTCTGGTTAATGCAGGGGTCACGCTTTGAGAACCTACCAGAACAACCCCATAGGTACTGCTGCACTGAAACGTAAGATTATTGTTGGTTATTGTTATTATGACTGTCTGAGCCGTTATGAAACAAGGTTGTTATTGTTACCTCTGCTTTTGGCCGCTTTCTTCAGTCTGTCCATTACTGAAGCTTTCAGGTTCTCACGGACGAAGCGACCTTCCAGTCCAGGGTACAGGGCCCTGCAAGACCAAAGTACAGCTCAGGGACAAGAGACATGGGATTCTAGGATTTTATTTTGTTATTATCACTGCCAATGAGGCTGACACACACACACACAGACACACACACACACTGACACATACACTGACATGCACACGCACACATACACTGACACGCACACACACACATACACTGACACACAACACACACACACATACACTGACACGCAACACACACACACATACACTGACACACAACACACACACACATACACTGACACACACATACACTGACACGCACACACACACATACACTGACACGCAACACACACACACATACACTGACACGCACACACACACATACACTGACACGCAACACACACACACACATACACTGACACACACATACACACGATACACACACATACACTCACACACAAACATATACAAATACACATACACTGACACGCACACACACACACATACACTGACACGCACATACACACGATACACACACATACACTCACACACAAACATATACAAATACACATACACTGACACGCACACACACACACATACACTGACACGCACTCACACACACACACAAACATGTACACATACACATGCACGCACACACACACACACACACACGATTGATTTATGAATTGGAGCTCTAGAATATTAATATATTTAGTTTGACGTTTGTGACATGTTAAATCTTTTTCTTAATCTTTTATTATTTTGGGGTAAATGATCAAAAGAAGCACAATGACTCAAGAATATTGATTACAATACTGGTTAATTTAATATATTCAAAATGTAACTAATCCATCAAACACATTTAGTTTTTCACACTTTCCATCACATCATTTACAGAATTAAACTAATGGTAAGATTTGTCTCAGTGTTTTGGTTAAAGTCCCTGTTATCACATCACCGTCCAGTGAGGATCTAGAGGTCTGGTAAATAACCACGTCGGGCCTAAAGGTTTTTGTAATTCTACTGAAAATGTTGACCACTTCATGATAAAGACTCATCACATGTAAAGTACCATATGCCAAACCTTTGTTTATCATAATTTTTCTTTTCAAAATAGCCTGAATTCCTTTTCATTTGGGTTTTTACAGCTCTAAACCAAATATCAACAAAAAACATACAATAAAAAGCCTTGATATACCTCACTTTTCTTTGTAAATGTCTCCAGTGTGAGATCAATAAAGTCTATTGTATCTTATCTTAATGAGTCTGTATTGGTTTCACATTGTAGATTTAAAAGTAAATTGGATTTTGTTTGAGTTTGACCTGTGCGTGGCCTTTCTTACCTGGGATACTCTTCTGATGCGATGTACACTGCGTCCTTCTCTGTGACCGAGGAGGTGAAGGTGGTGAAGGACTGGTCTTGCAGAGGCAGCAGCTCCAGTCCGATGAGGTCACTGTAGTTAGCATCACTCAGCGCAAACTCCAGCAGCAGCAGCTTTTCTTCTGCCGGGCCCTTGTGCTTGTGCTTCCTCACCGCCTGCCTCAGCAAAGCCGGCCTGGCCTTCTTCACTTCAGCGGCTTCGGGCGCGTAGGCAGCTAAGGCTGAGTCCACCGCGGCCGGCACCTTCGCCACCTGCATCCTTGAGCTTTGGAGGTAGTTAATCACAGCGTCTGCGATGTCCTTATCCGTGTCCAGTTCAGAGAAAACCGCTTGATCCGCTCTGACCCAGCTCTCGCTCAGGGAATAGATGACCTTCTCCTTTAACAGCTCATTAAACAAAGGCTGAAGAATGGCTTTCCAACGGGACTTGACGTGCTTCGGATCGGGCCACGCCGCGTAGGTTCCTCTCGGCGTCAGCGCGAACTCTTGCTGCGTTGTGCTTTGTGATCTTTTAACGGTTTCAACGATAAGTGTGAAGTACGCTTTAGGGATGACGGTCATCATGAGCAGCTCGTTCCATAAAGCAGCCGGATCCCTAAACTGATCCACCTCTCGCCATTTTATACTCCTCCTGTTGTCCGTGAGTCCGAAGAAACCGCTAACATGAACCGGCAATCCCGTTTCACTCTCTTCGCCGGGCGGGAGGGGGAGGAAGCAAAACGCGCGGCCCAAAAACCCGGCCGCCGCTTCATCTTCGCGTTCTTTCTCCGCGAGAGGCATGGCGATACCGATAGAAGGCAGGAACTTCAAGTCGCCCGCCAGATTGTCCATATCGCCGCACATTCCTCTGCCTCCGACCCCGTTGCACACCAGCCACGCCGTCCTCTGCGTCTCCTTGCGAGTTTGGTCTTGTGTTTGGATGTTGAGCTGGTAGGTGACGCAGGTGATGGTGGAGCTCGGGACCCCTTGGCTGTAGCTGTCCACGGCTTCTCCCAAAGTCTTGAGGGCTTCGCTTCGTTCCAGTTTGTTGTCTGCGTTTTCCGTCGCCGTGACTTGATAAAGCAATTTCTCGGTGCCGTCTGGTTCCCGCACGTGCAAAGAGATCTTTTGCACGCTTTTGAGGAAGAGCAGCACCGTGTCTGCGTCGGCTTTGAAGGACTCGAAAAGCTCCAGGACTTTTTCCTTGTTGTAGATGTTGGCGCTGAGCTGGGACGGGGCCGTGCGAAGTGGGAAGCGGAAGAGCGTCCCGGGGAAGTTGCCGTTTTTGATGGTTTTGTCCGAACTCCCCAAAATGCCCACGTAGGGAGCGAACTGGTCGGTGAGTTCTGCGATCTCTTTGACGTCTGTCTTGAGATTCCAACACTGGCCGGACTCGTTGGTCCCAAACAGAGTCTGGTGTGGGTCCAGCATCGCGATCTGGTCACTGCTGAAAATGCTGGGCACATCTGCAAACAAGGAATGAAATGTATTAAAAGCATTTCTACATTATGGAAAATGTTCTTTTGTTGTTGTTTTTGACACTGCTCCCTCATTAAAACAGACCTGGAGTTGTTTTTATCTCCATCCATGCTAATATTCGTCTTTATCTCCGGTGAAATCATGTTCTTTACAACAAGTTTCAATAAACATAGTTTGTGGTGAGAATAAAAAACATTACTGGAGAGATATTACATACCGAGATAAAAAAATAAAAATAAAACTCCTTCATACATTGTAACATGTTTATCCGTATATTATGTACTTAAGAAAGTGATTCACATTTTTAGTTAACAGACTTATTATTTATCATTTTTTCAAGATTTTAGTTTTTATACTTGTTATTGATGCTAGAGTTAGAGATTTAGTTTTATTTGAATGAATACAGCTATTGTTCACTTGTGTGCTCCTCTTTCCTACTGTTCTATAACTTGTGATGCAACACTGAAATTTCCCCCGCTGTGGGACGAATAAAGGATCTCTTAATCTTAATTATCATGCTTAAGGACCACAAAAAAATGCATAATATATATATATTTTTTTTTCATCAACAAAACCATATTTTTTAGGGGCGGGGACTAAAATGTTGACATGACACATAGAGCAAGATACAATATGACTTCAATATGAATTCTTATAACAATACAACAACAAACATGTACCTATAATATTAAACCTACAACAAATGGATGGATAATATACATTTGTGTTTTGCATTACTATGACCAGGAATTGCACTTCCCTTTCAATCATCTCCAACCTCCTCACTTCCATCAGAACAAAGTGCCAGACCTTGGGGGCCGAGCCTTTGCTGCAGCTGCCCCCACTCTCTTATTATTATTATTAATCACGGATGAGATTCCAAATATCTTTCACAAAAGCTAAAAAAAACGCAAATGTCGACGAAATGTGAGATTCGGATTACATTGTGTTATACTGGAGCTCACATACTTGCCCTCTGCTTATGACCATGAAACCCCTGCACTGATTTATAAATAATATCAATCAATATAGCTACAATTATAACAAAAAATATCTTATTATTGTAACCATTCTGCTATAGTTTAAAACCTGCTTCATCAATGAATACAATGGCGTTACCATGGAAACTGCTGGCCCCAGACTTACTTCTTAAACTCCACATTTTAATTCTCTCTAAATGCGTTTTGAACTTTAAAACTTCCATAGCTGACGATCAATCCCAAAATGCTTTGCGGTGTAATTTCTATATTTCTCAGTGTTTTTGCAGACGTCACTTTTGCGTCTCAGGACTGTCACCTGTGATGTGATAAACCGAGTTGAAGCCGATCCCGAATCTTCCGACTTTCAGAGGATCCTCTCTCTTCCTGCTTCGTGCGATCTCTTGAATTCCGTTCCAGTCTTCCATCGTGAACACAGCGTCGTTGTAGACGTACAGCGCGGCGCCTGAAACAATTAGATTTACTGTTAACGACATTCTTCAAAGAGGCATAAACATGACACAGTGAAGAGCTGAGGCCGGTCATTTAAACCTCTGGGATTCTGCATCAACCAACCTGTTTGTGAAAGGACTTCACTATTTATATTCTATTCATTAACAGAAACCTAAAGCTGGGGTCTCTCACTTTCAAACCACTAATAATGGAAAAAAAAAATCTTTTGGCTTATTTAGAGAAAAAAGTGGAAAAGAGATCATCACATGTTCAATCAGCTCTCTCCACAAAGCACCCAATAGTGACACTTTCTGTGCAAAAGATAGTGTTTTATAATACAGTGGTGTATGTAATGAGGCATTTAGCATGTAGTAAGTAAGTAAGTAATCTTTATTTATATACCGCCTTTCACAGACCAGAGTCACAAAGCGGTTTACAATTGTTATTTTTTTGGGCATTTGTCTCTCACTCCACACAGAGATGGGAGCGGGGTCGCCAGTACAGGAGGCGCATGCCAGACCTATTGTACATATTTTTAGTGGTAGGGGAAACCGGAGTACCCGGAGGAAACCTACGCAGACACGGGGAGAACATGCAAACTCCACTCAGAAAGGCCCTTGTCCGGCCGGGATTCGAACCAAGGACCTTCTTGCTGAGAGGCGAGAGTGCTATCAACTCAGCCACCGTGCCGCCCATGTAGCCTAGCTTTAGCATGTAGCCTAGCTTTAGCCATCTCCTTTGCCACTAACGGAGCCCGTGGGGAGTAGAGCCACAACATCTTTGCTTCAATGACATTTACTAAACATTCCTCTTGCTCCGGCTTCAGTTTCTTGATATTTGGATTGAACCAGAACAGATTATTTTACTATCGCATTCTCCGACAAACTACAACCAGTAAATTCAGTGCAAACTCTTGACGTCACCGACACCGACCTACAACACCCGCCTCCCCCGCTCTCTGATTGGTCAGAGGGGATTCAACCGAAGAAACTGCAACCACTAGGATCAGACCCAGACGTACATGTAGGAAATGACCATGGACCAGAGTTTACACATGGTAAGACCAGACGTACATGTAGGAAATGATCATGGACCAGATTTTACACATGGTAAGACCAGACGTACATGTAGGAGATGATCATGGACCAGAGTTTACACATGGTAAGACCAGACGAACATGTAGGAAATGATCATGGACCAGAGTTTACACATGGTATGACCAGACGTACATGTAGGAAATGATCATGGACCAGAGTTTACACATGGTAAGACCAGACGTACATGTAGGAGATGACCATGGACCAGAGTTTACACATGGTAAGACCGGACTAGCTTTAACAAGGATAGTCCTGAGATTCAGACTCTCTTTTTCAGGTTAGTCCTTCCTGGTTTAGGGGTAGGGGAACCAGGAGGAGAACATGCAAACTCCACTCAGTAAGGCCCAGCACTGACCGGTCAAACCCAGGGCCTTGTTGCGGAGAAGCTGTCCAGATTTAGGTTATAATTAGTTAGTTTTGTAATTGGTTTGACCTGTGTCCGTCTAACTTGTACCTCCTGGTGTGTGGTGACTTTTGTGTAGTACCTCAGATGGCTCTTTTCTAAACTCTAAATCCCTTCACCTTGATGCTGGGCCAGGCCTGGGGACCACAGCGACTCCACTCCGTACTCCGTCTCATCAAACAGAAACCGCACTTCGCTCGCTCCTGCATCTTCAGCGTTCTGAATCAGCTCCTGTCATTATATGAGATTATTTTAGTCCAATTAATTTCCAAAAGCACATTATTACACTGAGCCATATCTGCATGCATCTCGGGCCGCGACTCCATACTCACTTTGAGAATCTGTCCACCTTCAGGGTACCTTCGTAAAATATCTTTCAAGAATTCCACGAGGGGCGGTGTGGTCTGCCCGAATCTGCCTGAAAGCAACACACGGTCTGTAAGCCTCAATCTGTCATATTCAGATCCTGGTTATTTGCCAATTGCAGATACAATTTTACAGTCTATTTGTGCAAAAATCCCCAGCGCGCACAATAGACAACAACACACAATATCAAAAAACAATCAACACAGTGAAACATACATACAACATACTAAAAGCAAGAAAGTTCTGGATAAAAGTGCTCTGTTCAGTCTGGTGAAGAGGAATAAGATGTCCTGCACCTCAAGCAACGATATCTCCTCCCAAAGAGGGAAGAAGCTGGAACATGGCTGTCACCAGAGGAATTATATCATTTGAAGAGCTTGATTCAGATCCAGTTTATTTCCCATTTTCAGTTAAAACCACATTGGAATATTTGCGCAGAAATACCCAGTATGCACCATAACTGTAAACCAAAGCTGTTTGAGGCAAATCATGACCATTATGATTATTTCAAAGAGCATCCGGAAAGCATTCACAGCGCTTCAATTTTTTCAATTCATTTTTTTCCCTTAAAATTCTACACATAAAACCCCATAATGACAACGTGAAAAAAAAATTGGGGAGATTTTTGCAAATGTTTTACAAATAAATCCGAATGAATTACATGCATTCACAGCCATTGCCAGGAAGCTCTAAAGTATCTCTCCTTATCATTTACATTGCTGTTATTAAAATACTTGCTTTGCCATTTTGATACCTCCCTGACCCTGGCAGAGCTGGATCGTGACTACCTTTTCTTTGCAGTTGCAGAACCAGAGTCACATGTTGCTCACCTCCTCCTCTCAGTCCTCCGCTCTCCAGTTTAAAACACACTTCTCTGCCCGAGGGAGACAGCAGCTCTCCCATTCGAACGCTGTCATCGAGCTGGAAAACAAGGAAAGTGTATTTAGACAAAATAAAAGATACAGTATTTTTATGATCTGGTTAAAATAAATGTGTTCTCTTCTTTCTGTTGTAAAGCATCAGTTTCTGAGAGTGTGGAGAGAATAGATTTTATGTTTTGTGGCGTTAGTTACAGATCAATGCTGTCTGACTGCTGCTGTTGGAGGCTGTTCAAGGTGACTGTGTGTGTGTGTGTGTGTGTGTGCGTGTGTGTGCCTGTGTGTGTGCCTGTGTGTGTGCCTGTGTGTGCCTGTGTGTGTGCCTGTGTGTGTGCCTGTGTGTGTGTGTGTGTGTGCGTGTATGTGTGCGCTTGTGTGTGTGTGTGTGCCTGTGTGTGTGCCTGTGTGTGTGTGTCTGTGTGTGAGTGTGTGTGTGAGTATGAATGCGTGCATGTGTGTGAGAGTGTGCATCAGTCAGTGTGTGTGTATCTGTGTGTGTGTGTGTGTGTGTGTGCCTGTGCACTTGTTTTCAACTCCTGGTGGGTTCCATAACCTGAGATTCCACTCACGTCATGGGGACTGGTTTTACGTGGTGGGGCCCGAACACCGGACCCCACTGGTCCAAGCTTAATAATCAATGGGTAATGCTTTTCTAACGGTCCTTATGCAGTCTCTGTAAAAATATGGAAAGGACCCCTGGAGGTTTACTTTCCTGAAAAAAGTGTGTTATGTGTCGGAACCCTGGTGGTGGGTTGCGGGATATCAAGGAGGGGCACACTGGGGCAATTTCAGTCCAGCAGGGTGGAGCCAATCATGGAGCAGCACAACAGAGGCTGGAGCCAATCATGGAGCAGCACAACAGAGGCTGGAGCCAATCATGGAGCAGCACAACAGAGGAAATCAGGTGTCAGGCTAGAAAAGGTGCAAGTGTGTGGTTCATTAGGCTGCAGCCAATCACAGAGCAGCACACTGAAGCGCACGCTTACAAACCACTGGTAAGTGCTGACTACAAGTCATGACTTCAAATTGTTATATAGAATGATTACAAATTATTTGTTGTTTGTGCAGCTTAGTCAAGAGTCCCTAATTGATGAAGTCGACTCAGATTCTGACGATTTAACTGTCAAGAAGAAACCTGTAAAAAAGTATGGAAAAAGAAAAATCAAAAACACTTTTCTTCAAGACTCGGAAAGTGACGAACCAAAGGCAAATAAGATTGTTATCATGCAGCTGCAAAAGAAGAAAAATGGGGGGCGAGTTTACAGCAAGAGACACTTCTGCCTCTAGTGTTCAATGTCCTGCCACAAAATGTCCCGTCATTTGACTAGAAAACATGGAAATGAAAGTGACGTAGCCAGAGCATTGGCTCTACCTGTGAAATCTAAAGCACGTAAACTTCAGTTTGATTTGATCAGGAATAGTGGAAACCGTGAGCACAATTTTGAGGTTTTAAAGGCCGGCATTGGAACTTTAGTCCCAGCTAAACAGCCAAATTCCCCAGTTAAATCCAGTGAGTTTTTGCACTGTATAGACTGTGGGGCATTGCTTAAGCGAAAGTCGCTGTGGAGGCATGTGGCCAGGTGCCGGCTTTCACAGAAAGATGCCCAGGCTAAACCAGGTAGAAGTAGGGTCCAGTCCCCTCTGCTCCCTAGCCCAGCCTGTACCGGAGGGCATCAGCAAAAAGCTGTGGTCTTTAATTTCGGCAATGCATCAGGATGAGGTCACGGGTGTTGTCAAAGCAGAAAAGGGGATTCTGAGACTCGGAGAGCACCTGTACTTAAAACACGGGCATGATAAGACTAAGCATGATTACATTAGGCAGAAAATGAGAGAAGTCGGTAGGTTAATTAACGAAGCAAAAACCGCAGGGAAACTGAAAACAATTAAGGATTTCTTTATTCCTTCCAACTTTAACCATGTGATTGATGCAGTCAGGTCTGTGGCTGGATATGATGAGGAAACAAATCAATACAAGACTCCATCCTTGGCCCTCAAACTCGGCCATAGCCTCAGAAAGCTAGCAGATATTCTTGAATGTGACTCAAAAATGGAGCATTGTGTTGATGAACTATTTATTAAAAACCTCCAACGAAGCCGGCTGCTTTTTGAGAAGAGGTGGGACGTCTGTGTTTCTTCTGCTGCCCTACAGACCCTCCGGCAAGCCAAGTGGAACACTCCGGACCTGCTCCCTCTGACTGAGGACGTTAGAGCCATGCATGCACATATTGAGGTATGTCGACCTGAATATGTGCAAACCCTAATAAGTGAGCCAACGTCTAAGCATTGGTCTAAACTGGCAGTTTTGACTCTTTGTGAGGTCATCATTTTCAATCGAAGAAGGGAAGGTGAGGTTTCAAAGATGCCACTGACAGCCTTTACCTTAAGAAGTAAGACTGGGATCCATTCTGACATTGCTCTGGGACTGTCCCAACTTGAGAAAAAGCTGTGTCAGCATTTTCAACGCATTGAAATTAAAGGGAAAAGAAGTCGGAAAGTGCCGGTTCTTTTGACTCCTGAAATGATTGCTTCGATGGAGGTGCTGGTGGAGAACAGAAGGGCCTGTTCCATCTCTGACCATAACCCATACTTCTTTTCCCGCCCGGGCGCAGACACCCACATCAGGGGATCAGACTCCCTACGCCAGGTAGCCAAAGAATGTGGTGCGGTGCATCCAGAGATGCTATCCTCAACCAAACTTAGAAAGCACATAGCTACTATGTCTACAGTTCTCAATATGAAAGAGAATGAGATGGACATACTTGCCAACTTCCTCGGCCATGACATTCGCATCCACAGACAATATTACAGACTACCAGAGGGGACACTGGAGCTGGCCAAAATCAGCAAAGTGTTGATGGCCATGGAGCAGGGAAGAGTGACGGAATTCGAAGGAAAGAGCCTCGACCAGATACAAATTGAGCCTGAAGGTAATTCTTGATATTATTAAAATATGTATGATTTTTTTCCCCTAAAGGCCACTTGTATTTTTATTTTCTGTGCGACAGGGAGAGCAGTAGAGATCCTCTCACAAACGGACGGGCTAAAAGAAACTTCAAGCGGAGAACCTTCAACCATTCATCCAGATGCACCCCATGGTAGTGGCAGTGCCCCTTCTGGTAAGTGTACCAGGTGGGGGATTACAGCCAGGCTGCTTGGTCCTAACCCTGGGAGTGTATATTGCTAATATATTTTTATTTCTCTCCCTAGAACGTGTAAGAAAGCCATGGTCTGCATCTGAGGTGTAGGCTGTGGAGAAGACCATGACACCTTTCATACAGACTGGAAAAGTCCCTGGGAAGTCTCACTGCCTGGCCTGCATTAATGCCTCACCAGATGACCTTAGACATCGGACATGGAGTGGCATTAAATTCTATGTCAAAAATAGAATCACTGCAATTCGAAATAAAAATCAAAAATAAAATTCCTTTAAAAGAGTTGTTTGTTTTCTATTGACTGTTTTGTATTACTTAAAGTAGTCCCAGTAAAAAAGATTATGTCTATGGGTCCCATTCTGAACGGCCCTGTCAAAGGGACCCACCAGGTAACAAAAACGTGTATGTGTGCGTGTGTGTGTGTCTGTGTGTGAGTATGAATGCGTGCATGTGTGTGAGAGTGTGCATCAGTCAGTGTGTGTGTGTGCACTTGTTTTCAACTCCTGGTGGGTTCCATAACCTGAGATTCCACTCACGTCATGGGGACTGGTTTTACGTGGTGGGGCCCGAACACCGGACCCCACTGGTCCAAGCTTAATAATCAATGGGTAATGCTTTTCTAACGGTCCTTATGCAGTCTCTGTAAAAATATGGAAAGGACCCCTGGAGGTTTACTTTCCTGAAAAAAGTGTGTTATGTGTCGGAACCCTGGTGGTGGGTTGCGGGATATCAAGGAGGGGCACACTGGGGCAATTTCAGTCCAGCAGGCTGGAGCCAATCATGGAGCAGCACAACAGAGGAAATCAGGTGTCAGGCTAGAAAAAGGTGCAAGTGTGTGGTTCATTAGGCTGCAAGAAATCATGGAGGAGCACACTGAAGCGCACGCTTACAAACCACTGGTAAGTGCTGACTACAAGTCATGACTTCAAATTGTTATATAGAATGATTACAAATTATTTGTTGTTTGTGCAGCTTAGTCAAGAGTCCCTAATTGATGAAGTCGACTCAGATTCTGACGATTTAACTGTCAAGAAGAAACCTGTAAAAAAGTATGGAAAAAGAAAAATCAAAAACACTTTTCTTCAAGACTCGGAAAGTGACGAACCAAAGGCAAATAAGATTGTTATCATGCAGCTGCAAAAGAAGAAAAATGGGGGGCGAGTATACAGCAAGAGACACTTCTGCCTCTACTGTTCAATGTCCTGCCACAAAATGTCCCGTCATTTGACTAGAAAACATGGAAATGAAAGTGACGTAGCCAGAGCATTGGCTCTACCTGTGAAATCTAAAGCACGTAAACTTCAGTTTGATTTGATCAGGAATAGTGGAAACCGTGAGCACAATTTTGAGGTTTTAAAGGCCGGCATTGGAACTTTAGTCCCAGCTAAACAGCCAAATTCCCCAGTTAAATCCAGTGAGTTTTTGCACTGTATAGACTGTGGGGCATTGCTTAAGCGAAAGTCGCTGTGGAGGCATGTGGCCAGGTGCCGGCTTTCACAGAAAGATGCCCAGGCTAAACCAGGTAGAAGTAGGGTCCAGTCCCTCTGCTCCCTAGCCCAGCCTGTACCGGAGGGCATCAGCAAAAAGCTGTGGTCTTTAATTTCGGCAATGCATCAGGATGAGGTCACGGGTGTTGTCAAAGCAGAAAAGGGGATTCTGAGACTCGGAGAGCACCTGTACTTAAAACACGGGCATGATAAGACAAAGCATGATTACATTAGGCAGAAAATGAGAGAAGTCGGTAGGTTAATTAACGAAGCAAAAACCGCAGGGAAACTGAAAACAATTAAGGATTTCTTTATTCCTTCCAACTTTAACCATGTGATTGATGCAGTCAGGTCTGTGGCTGGATATGATGAGGAAACAAATCAATACAAGACTCCATCCTTGGCCCTCAAACTCGGCCATAGCCTCAGAAAGCTAGCAGATATTCTTGAATGTGACTCAAAAATGGAGCATTGTGTTGATGAACTATTTATTAAAAACCTCCAACGAAGCCGGCTGCTTTTTGAGAAGAGGTGGGACGTCTGTGTTTCTTCTGCTGCCCTACAGACCCTCCGGCAAGCCAAGTGGAACACTCCGGACCTGCTCCCTCTGACTGAGGACGTTAGAGCCATGCATGCACATATTGAGGTATGTCGACCTGAATATGTGCAAACCCTAATAAGTGAGCCAACGTCTAAGCATTGGTCTAAACTGGCAGTTTTGACTCTTTGTGAGGTCATCATTTTCAATCGAAGAAGGGAAGGTGAGGTTTCAAAGATGCCACTGACAGCCTTTACCTTAAGAAGTAAGACTGGGATCCATTCTGACATTGCTCTGGGACTGTCCCAACTTGAGAAAAAGCTGTGTCAGCATTTTCAACGCATTGAAATTAAAGGGAAAAGAAGTCGGAAAGTGCCGGTTCTTTTGACTCCTGAAATGATTGCTTCGATGGAGGTGCTGGTGGAGAACAGAAGGGCCTGTTCCATCTCTGACCATAACCCATACTTCTTTTCCCGCCCGGGCGCAGACACCCACATCAGGGGATCAGACTCCCTACGCCAGGTAGCCAAAGAATGTGGTGCGGTGCATCCAGAGATGCTATCCTCAACCAAACTTAGAAAGCACATAGCTACTATGTCTACAGTTCTCAATATGAAAGAGAATGAGATGGACATACTTGCCAACTTCCTCGGCCATGACATTCGCATCCACAGACAATATTACAGACTACCAGAGGGGACACTGGAGCTGGCCAAAATCAGCAAAGTGTTGATGGCCATGGAGCAGGGAAGAGTGACGGAATTCGAAGGAAAGAGCCTCGACCAGATACAAATTGAGCCTGAAGGTAATTCTTGATATTATTAAAATATGTATGATTTTTTTCCCCTAAAGGCCACTTGTATTTTTATTTTCTGTGCGACAGGGAGAGCAGTAGAGATCCTCTCACAAACGGACGGGCTAAAAGAAACTTCAAGCGGAGAACCTTCAACCATTCATCCAGATGCACCCCATGGTAGTGGCAGTGCCCCTTCTGGTAAGTGTACCAGGTGGGGGATTACAGCCAGGCTGCTTGGTCCTCACCCTGGGAGTGTATATTGCTAATATATTTTTATTTCTCTCCCTAGAACGTGTAAGAAAGCCATGGTCTGCATCTGAGGTGAAGGCTGTGGAGAAGACCATGACACCTTTCATACAGACTGGAAAGGTCCCTGGGAAGTCTCACTGCCTGGCCTGCATTAATGCCTCACCAGATGACCTTAGACATCGGACATGGAGTGGCATTAAATTCTATGTCAAAAATAGAATCACTGCAATTCGAAAACAAAATCTAAAATAAAATTCCTTTAAAATAGTTGTTTGGTTTCTATTGACTGTTTTGTATTACTTAAAGTCTTGGTAAAAAAAAGATTATGTCTATGGGTCCCATTCTGAACGGCCCTGTCAAAGGGACCCACCAGGTAACAAAAACGTGTATGTGTGTGTGTGTGTGTGTCTGTATGTGCGCGTGCGTCTACGTGTGAGTGTGTGGATGTGTGTTTGTGTCTGCGACACTAAGGGACGTACCACAGACAATAAACTTCTATAGAGACTATAGAGTAGATTACAACACAAATGTATTACATTATTTTTGTTCCACAACAAAGACAGGAAACGCATGGTCAAAAGGTGATTATAATCTGCATGTGTATAATGTGACGTACTGTAACATTACATAATATATTAGATGTACCAGAATAAAATGAATACATTTTATTATTTAAAGGGTATAATTACATACCATATAACACCACTGTGCACACATGCTGCTGTATATGTTCACCTCCTGCATGGCTCCGCGCTCGCCACAGTTAGCATAATAAACATATCTACAATAGCAACATTAGCACTAGCATGCACAATTTAGACAGGAGCACTGCACAAGGATCAGTTTCTCAATCCCAACAGTCAGACTAAAGTCATATAGCTAACATAGTCTATAGCATATTATACATCCACCCAGAGCAAATACAGGAGCTGGGATTATATTCAAGGTGAGCTGTAACACATACAGGAGCAGGGATTATATTCAAGGTGAGCTGTGACACATATAGGAGCTGTGTCACAGCAGTAGTATATATAAGTACATGTGAGAATGTTAACGGCATGATTCTCCTCGAGTCCAAACCTCCAATCGCTCCATTACTTTGACCAAACACCTGCTTTCATCCTACACCTGTGGCTGATGGCCGTTCTGATCTGTGGCAGTTTGAGTCCATAGATCAGAGGGTTATTAATGGAAGGCACCATCAGATACTCCAGAGACAGAACAGCAGTGATTATGGGGTTGATTTTGTTTGTATCAAATCGAGTCAGCGACAACTCCAGAAAAACAGATACAGAGAAGACCACGAACGTCACTAAATGTGGGATGCAGGTTTGCAAAGCCTTTCTTCTCACTAGAGCACTGCTTCTCTTACACACAAAGAGAATCTTCATGTACGAGAAAAACACAAAGATCAGAGGGATAAAGATGGTGGTTATGGTCACAAACTGCCCTACAATATTGTTGGCAGCTGTATCCACGCATGAGTTTTTCACCACAGGCCAATTTGAGCAGAAAATACGATGCAGCTTGTTCCCACAGAGAGGTAACTGGACAGTGAGAGCAACGCCATATCCTATGGCACATGCTGAGTACAATACTCCAATACTCCACAGAACCACAGTCTTTCTCAAAGTCATTCTGGCGTGGTAATGTAGCGGCTGGCAGATGGCCACAAACCTGTCGTACGCCATGGCTCCCAGGATGGTAAACTCACAC